CCCCCCCCCCCCCCCCCCCCAAGACCCCCCAGTCGCCACGCCCCTGAGTGTGAGTGAGCTTCTAGAATCCAGGTGATAATCTTGAACTGTCTGTGCCAGTGTAGGCACATTGTTGTAGGAACGTATGATTTCTTTGCTCGAAACGTCGAAGTTCTCCTTGTATTTTTTCAGATAGTTGTACCTCTCCATAGTTAGTATAGAAGACCTATATTAACTATGATCTCTTTTAATTCCACACTTTTCTCGATATTTTTTAGTTTTACAGTTATAGAGATGACGACAGTATTGTAGATAGTGGATAATATGCTTGTGTTGCAGCTAGAATACAGTATATTTCACTCTTTCCTTGATAAAGCATTTTAATTAATGCAATGATCATATTTTTTATTCTTCAGGCATTTTGCTGTATATCTACTGGAATATACGGTAAGGACTTAGGACCTTAAGCTGGTGTTGGGAGCTACTAGTACTCCGAGTGACGAACCATAACAGACAATTAGAGAAAACTCTACTTGGCTCGACTGGGATTCGAACCCACGAACTTCGGTTTACTAGTCCGGTGCTCTTCTGACTGAGCTATACAGGTCAGGTTGGGAGCAGCTAGGTCTAGTTTTTTCGATATCGAAGAAACTGGAGAAAACTGTACTTGACTCGGCTGCGATTCGAACCCATGACCTTCAGTTTACTAGTCCAATGCTCTACTGACTGAGCTCTCGAAGAACCTACTGTAGATATCGAAGAAACTACTCTAGATATTGAAGAAACTAGACCCTGTTTCCAAATATCAAAACCCCTTGAAATACAATCTTTTAACGACCTGATCCCAACCTGACCTGTAGCTCAGTCAGTAGAGCATAAAACTAGTAAACCAAAGGTCGTGGGTTCGAATCCCAGCCGGGCTAAGTAGAGGTTTCTCTATACTTGTCCGGTACGGTTTGTCACTCGGAGTAGCTCCCAACGCCACCTTAGGTCAAGTGGGATAAAATTTTCCATGTGAAAGCTTTATCCCTTTGGACATTACTAGACCTCTAGGAAGAACAATAAAAACATTGATACAGTTAAAGTAAGGTTAGTTTAAAAAATTGTTTCTAGGGTACCCGAACGAAAGGGCTGCTCATGTTGCGTTGAAAACCGTTAAAACGTGGTTGAAAGAAAACGATGATTGGGTATGTAGTAAAATTGCTTGTTCTTCATATATAAGTGCGTAATATCGCAAAAAAACTGAAGGGTTGTTTAACTCCTCGCCCAACAACAGAAAAAGTAACAGATTGTTTAACTTCTCACCTTGAAAGAACAAGATAACTTTAACTTGTCATTACAACAGTAAACAACTCTTGTGGTGTCGTGATCACCACGCTTGCCTTTCAAGCTAGGAGCCCCGGGTTCAATCCTTGGTCGGACCTCTACTCAAGGTCTTAAAATAATTGAGGAGAAAGAGCTACAAGGTTTATTGACATCAGTGTACGGCAAAGGCTATTGACATCAGTGTATGGTTAGACTTTCGCGTCTTCTCGGATAAGGACGTTAAAATGGTAGGTAACTCGGATCCCCTATTAATTGGTCAATAGCATGTTGGGAAATCCGCTCACCAATGAGTGAGACTGAACTCGATAAATAAAGGAAAATGGTTAAAGTCCTTGCTTCAATCCTAGGTCGGTCACATAATATTTTGCGTATTTTTACAAGAAGACCTGGATATTTATCAAGAGTTAATGCTCCGGTACTTTCCTTGTACGACCGAGAAAGATGTAGAAGAGACTAAGGGGACTGAGGATAAGCCAGTTGGCTCCAAACCAAAGCCAACCGGCTCAACAATGAAGCCGAATGATGAAAAGCCTGGTGCTACTGAAGCGACGAAAACATCTCATTCAAAAGGGCGTGGACATAGAAAGATGCATACCTCAAAAGAGATGCCGCCAAAGCCGAGATTAGTAGATCTAGCAAATTCCACTGCAGATCAAATTAAAAGCAACCGTCCGAAAGACAAAGACAACAGCCATCCAGGGGAGAGTAAAGGAAAGGTTGATGATTTGGGTTCGTCGTCTCGTAAACGCAAAGATGTTGATGGTGATGATGATGAGAAAATGGATACCTCTGGAAATGGTATGGGTGATACAGCGAAGCTGGCCGAAGGAACTACAGAAACTACAGTCGGTAGAAAAGGTAGGGGAGTTTTTAACAAAGAAGTAGTTTAGATTGAGGTCGTATATAAAGTTGTCTTATTTTCCTGGATTGTAAATGTTGTTGTGAAACTCATTAATAATTCATGAAGGAAACACAAAAGAAATCATGAGCGTGAAGGAGTTTGTATATCTGATACAAAATCATGCTGATTTACATAAACTTTAAGTTCAATTTTCTCACCAAATATCATTCATTTATTTTAAATTGTTGAAGAATACGAATGTTCTCATCAAGACGTTTCACAAGCTATTTACAACATTTGCGGCCGTGTTAGTATCGGATATACAAACTCGATACGATAAATACTTATACTGTCAATTTTAGATTACTCTTCTTCACAAAATTTTAATGTATTTCAGAAGGGAGTAAAGGTGATTCGGGCTCATTTTTTCGCGAAAGCAAGGTTGTAAGTGGTGCTGGTGATGGAAAAGTTGATGTCTCAGAAGGTGATAAACCAAAAACAGCGACGGAGGATGATGGAACTGCAGGAAAAATAGATACCTCAGAAGGTGATGGACCAAATACAGCGACGGGGGGTGGTGGAATTGTAGGAAAAATGGATACCTCAGAAGGTGATAGAACAAATACAGCGACGGGGGGTGATGGATATGCAGGAAAAATGGATACCTCAGAAGGTGATAAACCAAATTCAGCTACGGAGGGTGATGGAACTGCAGGAAAAATGGATACCTCAGAAGGTGATAGACCAAATACAGCGACGGGGGGTGATGGAACTGCAAGAAAAATGGATACCTCAGAAGGTGATGGACCAAATACAACTGCGGGGGGTGATGGAACTGCAGGGAAAATGGATATCTCAGAAGGTGATAAACCAAATACAGCGACGGGGGGTGATGGAACTGCAGAGACGACAGCCGATGAGAAAGGTAAGTTTAACTCATAAGTGGCGATGTACTCTATTCTGCATCCAATTTATTCATTCTAACGCCAGACGATTTTGCTCGTCAAAGAAAATTCATGTGTTCTTGGGCTAATATGTAATTGATCGCCTTGATACGATAAATACTTATACTGTCAATTTTAGATTACTCTTCTTCACAAAATTTTAATGTATTTCAGAAGGGAGTGAAGGTGATTCGGGCTCATTTTTTCGTGAAAGCAAGGTTATAAGTGGTGCTGGTGATGAAAAAATTGATGTCTCAGAAGGTGGTAGACCAAATACAGCGACGGAGGGTGATGGAACTGCAAGAAAAATGGAGATCTTAGAAGTTGATAGACCAAATACGGCGACGGAGGGTGATGGAACTGCAGAGATGACAGCCGATGAGAAAAGTAAGTTTAACTCATAAGTGACAACGTACTTTATTCTGCCTCTAATTTATTCTTTCTAACGCCAGACGATTTCACTCGTCAAAGGAAAGTTGTTCTTGGGTATTAATGTAATAGACAGATAGCTACAATTAACGGTAGCATTGAATATATTTGCAGAAATTAAAGAAACAAGTTTATAGAGACTCGACCCGCGGCGGATATCTGTGGGATCGGTACACAGGCGAATTGTGTGGATAGATGAATTGTGTTTAGTATTTGTGTTCAGATTAGTATAATATTCAGACCTTGAATTCTGAGAGAGATGGTTCGTGTGTGTTCGATGTGCTTCAGCTCCCCTTACGGCACTGAAACAGCGTTTTAAAGCGAACAGTTCAGTTGGAAAATTTTACAACAAAATCTTTACAGTCGATCAGGGTTTTGACCAATGTAGACAAACAGGTGCTTCTCTTTTTGAATTCATTCCGTGCAGGAAAAGTTTCGTACATACACGAGAAGCTTTTGCTTTAACTTTTTTTAACCTGTGTTCATTGCTGTAGCTTTCGAGATCATCAGTTACTCTCTTTTGATAAACCTACAGAGAGATTTGCCAGTCTCATGCTTCGTACAAAATTCAAGATCTGAATATTATACTCATAGTTTTAGTAAGAGATCATTACTGTATGTAGCCCCCTCGGGCATCTTAGCCATCTTAATATCGATGTGTATATAAGTTGTGTTTAATATATACTTTAATTGGATACTTAATTTAAAATGGTAGATTCGAAGTTATAAGCTAGTTTCTTTTTTATTGTATATACAGTATGTATACAATAATATTATACAATATTCAATAAACATTGAAAAAATCATTCCAACATAATATTTATTGTACGCGATCGTTGATTAGTCGAATCGTGTTTCTCAGGGTTTCCACTTCGAAGGATTTTTTCCTTCTAAGGGAATTTTTGCAATTAGAAGAAAAGAAGCAATCCGAAATGGAAGGAATGTGACAGAAATTACCCCTGTACATGCTGTGTCAAAATGTTGCTGCTTAGCATCCTGCATGTGCATCCAGTATTCCCATGAGCATGCTCATATTGACCAAAATCCACAGCTATTTCAATTAAGGTTGTCCAGGTGCAAAGCGGGAAAGTCGAATGCGAGCGCGAAAGGCTGCTGGGAATCGCTAAAAACTTAATGAATTTTCATAGCGATTCACAGCAGCCTTTCACGCTCGTATTCGACTTTTCCGCTTTGCTCGTTGACAACCTTAAAGCTATTTCAATTAAGGTTTGTCCAGGTGCAAAGCGGAAAAATCGAATACGAGCGCGAAATGCTCGCTGGGAATCGCTAATAAATTCATTAATTATTTAGCGATTCCCAGCAAGCCTTTCGCGCTCGTAATTGAAATAAGCTATTTCATTATACACCAAAATCCGGTATGCTCATGAGCATACTCATATATTTGTATAAATATAACTCATTTACAACGATACGACTAACCGTGTCGTGTAAATGGGCTATAAAAATACGGGCGCATGTAAATTATCCCCATTTAGCTAAAAACCGTCTCTACACGTCTACTTGCGTAAGGTGGTCACTCTGTTTGGAAATAGAAGTTGGGTCACTACTCATGTTCTGCATAGGTATAGCATTGTCATTACACATGTCGTCATCAATATCAATTGCGCATGTTCTTGAACTTTTTCTCCGGTTAAATATGATGCACTGTTCTTCCACTTCCCCCTCATCATCTTCAATAATTTTCATTTCATCCATTTTTGTATTTGCTTTACGTAGACCTGCGAACAGGCTCGCACGTGACCCAGTGGACCTCCTCCATTCAATGTTATTCCTACTCCCACGTGCATTAGGCATGTCATTGAAATGCACGTCTGTCATATTTCCATGTGCATTGGGCGTGTCAGTCACATGGTCATGTGAATCAGGCATGTCAATCGCATGTCCAATTGTCTTGTTCTCATGTGAATTAGGCGTGTCAGTCACATGTACGCTTGTCTCATTCTTATTTACACAAGGCGTGTCATTCACGTGCACCTCCGGACTAGCTGTCTCCACTGACCGACACAAAGCCGTTATCTTGTTTAGTCTTGTACCTTCGTTGGGCGATGCGGAGTTGATTGGTGCCACTTTGGTATGAAAAAATTTTGAAAAAAAGTTTGAATGTTTAGTGTTTTCACCACATTTGTCGGATTTGTTCGCCTTTCTCTTGTGAGACGCCACAAATTGTTGTAATCCAGAGAAGATGCTGGAGGTTTTTGTATTTGCATCTTTTTCATTTGGAATGGAACTGTTACTCCCGTGGGCTGATGGCAAGGACATATTTCCATTTGCTGACATCTTTAACTCTTGCAACTGCGAGAACATGCTCATTCTTCTCCCTCTGTTCGATGGCATGCTTTGATTTCCAACTTCTGGTTGATTTGACAGAGATGGTGGCGTTCTTTTCCTTCCAAGAACTGGAGGCTTATTGGATTGATTCGGCGCAGATGGAGACGTTCCGTTACTTCTCAAGGAGGACGGTATGGAATTATTTGCATTTGCTGATAGTTTTATTTGCTGTAACTGTGAAAACATGCTCATCCGTCTACCTCTCCCTGACGTGTTTTCATTGTCATTCGTTGACTGGACATTTGAATTACCGCCATCAAGTGATTGGTCTAAAGCAGAAAATTTGTTCCGTAGTTGGTTTCGCTGTGGTATCGCCCCAACACGCGAAGCTGATAATTTCGACTCGTGTAGCTCGGAGAATAGACTCATTCGTCGTCCGCGAGGCGACGGGTTATTCTTATTCTTATTTGATGGTTGCAGCCCCGACGGGGAGTCCAATTTTTGATCAACCCCAGGGTTGTCGTGAGCGGATATTTTTGATTGATGTACAGCTGAGAACATGCTCATTCGTCTGTTCCTTGCTGCCGGGTACAAATTTATGACTGTTGGAGCAGTACTGGAAGCATCACTCGTTTCTTTGACAACTTGTGACTCGCCACACACGATGACATTGTGCACTTTGTTCTTAATTCGGTTACGTTTTGCACTGACAGTAAACACGAGCACCGCAGCGATAACTTCGGATACGCGCATACCAGTCTGTAGCGAATACCAAGGCCAGGCGTCCACAAACTCTACCTCGGAGTAGATACCAAACACTCCCACTGCTGAGTAAAGAATTAACACACATGTGAAGAGATTTGCTACACTTGATAGATAAATAAGCAAGAGGTATATCCGATCACCACGTGACTTCCTCCGTCCGGCTCCTTTAAACAGCACGTGGTTTATTTTGTGCGCGAGTGTCGAATACCAAATACCAAGCAACGTTCCCCAAATGATTGAAAAAACTTGACAATATAAGATCATCACTTTTGCACTGCTGTGCGCAGATACGACTATATCTGTTGCGATGACCAGAACAAAGTGTAGAAAGATTACAATTAAGATGTTGGATAAACGTTGAAAACGTTGATGGATTAGATTCACGCTTGCCGATTCGGCCAGCGCTAGGATACACAAAGAATCTGAAGCAAGCAAACAGGGAGTTCCAATGGACCACATGAGTTGAAGGACTAGTTTATTTTCGATTAAAGTCCCTTGGTGGTATGGATCCAAGAATAGCACAAATGATCGCGTTATAGAAAGAACACACATCATGACATTTAAGGAGATACTTAGATATTTCTTCCCAAGTCCATCTTTGACATTCACTACGATGTAGTAGCCTGAATAGATTGCCATGAGCAAGAAGATTATTGCAAAAAGATATGTGTGTGCAGGCCATGCACTCTGCCATAGTTTGTAGGCTTTCTCCCACTCCGGACCTGGTTCAGGCCATGTTTCCGACTGAGGTTCTGGTTCGCTTTGAGCTGGTGATTTACCGTCACTTTCAGGAGTCGGTTCCGATGTACTCTCACGTTCAGGACTTGGTTCAGATGTACTCTCACTTTCAGGATTTGGTTCAGATGTACTGTCACTTTCAGGACTAGGTTCAGATGTACTCTCACTTTCAGGACTAGGTTCAGATGTACTCTCACTTTCAGGACTAGGTTCGGATGTACCGTCACGTTCAGGACTTGGTTCAGATGTACTGTCACGTTCAGGACTTGGTTCAGATGTACTGTCACTCTCAGGACTCGGTTCAGATGTACTCTCACTTTCAGGACTTGGTTCAGATGTACTCTCACTTTCAGGAATTGATTCAGATGTACTCTCACTTTCAGGAATTGGTTCAGATGTACTCTCACTTTCAGGATTTGGTTCAGATGTACTGTCACTTTCAGGACTAGGTTCAGATGGTCTGTCACTTTCAGGACTAGGTTCAGATGTACTCTCACTTTCAGGATTAGGTTCAGATGTACTGTCACTTTCAGGACTAGGTTCAGATGTACTGTCACTTTCAGGACTAGGTTCAGATGTACTCTCACTTTCAGGACTAGGTTCAGATGTACTGTCACTTTCAGGATTTGGTTCAGATGTACTTTCACTTTCAGAACTAGGTTCAGATGTACTCTCAGTTTCAGGACTAGGTTCAGATGTACTCTCAGTTTCAGGACTAGGTTCAGATGTACTCTCACTTTCAGGAATTAGTTCAGATGTACTCTCACTTTCAGGACTTGGTTCAGATGTACTCTCACTTTCAGGATTTGGTTCAGATGTACTCTCACTTTCAGGATTTGGTTCAGATGTACTCTCACTTTCAGGATTAGGTTCAGATGTACTGTCACTTTCAGGACTAGGTTCAGATGGTCTGTCACTTTCAGGACTAGGTTCAGATGTACTCTCACTTTCAGAACTAGGTTCAGATGTACTGTCACTTTCAGGATTTGGTTCAGATGTACTTTCACTTTCAGAACTAGGTTCAGATGTACTCTCAGTTTCAGGACTAGGTTCAGATGTACTCTCAGTTTCAGGACTAGGTTCAGATGTACTCTCACTTTCAGGAATTGGTTCAGATGTACTGTCACTTTCAGGACTAGGTTCAGATGGACTGTCACTTTCAGGACTGGGTTCAGTTGTACTCTCACTTTCAGGACTAGGTTCAGATGTACTGTCACTTTCAGGACTAGGTTCAGATGTACTCTCACTTTCAGAACTAGGTTCATATGTACTCTCACTTTCAGACTCGTTGACAGTTCTTCGTATCCGAAGATATATTTTGGCTTTTTCATTAATTTGTATTGATTTGTAGGGGTTAGATTCTGAGTACACAACAAAGCCCTGAAAATTAATGATGGAGAAGAGCTACGTCAGTATCTTTTACAATTTCTTTTCAAAATGGAGATTAACTTTGTTAGTTTTAAGAAGAAATTGTGGAGGTGAACTCTGGAATACGAAGAGCGAAGATATCAAACTATAAATACTGTCTAAGTTAGTATATGAACGTGTTTATTGATAACAAAAACCGTTCTATGTATTGACAACCGTTATATGTAAACCCGCGCTGGCCAAAATGAATCTATACAGCGTTTAAGCAGGCGTTTAAAAGACAAGACGTCCGTTAAATAAATTTAAAATACATACCCTAAACTGTATGTCAAATTTCGTGTTAAAAAATCTAAGCAGTTGAGATGACTCATCACTTAAATCTTAATAAATACAATTTGCTTTTGAGCGTTTTGTAATTTTGGCGCGTTTATTTTGATTATTTCCGCGCGCTCCTGCATTTCTTGGTGTCAGTTGGTTGAGAGTATTTGTTGTATACTTCATTTAGATTGGAACTGAAATACAAATATTCTATGTTGTTACTTGCTATTCGTATATAATTGTCATCAATCATAAATAATCCATCATTTTTAGCGCACCAGATTCAAACTTACCAGTGTTAGGACGAGAGCCAAGGGCAGAAATGTTGATGTGTTATTCATTTTTTAACCGGAAGAGTAAAAAATCCTGATTAAAATTGTTATCCAAGAGCTGATCGCCACTTTTCTAATTTATGTCTTGAATCGGATATTCACTGAAATATCTGTAAAAAGACAAAAGTAATGAGTGGAAACAAAGTTTATTTGTATTAATACAATTATAATCATTCAGATAATTTGGGGTTTTACTTTTCTTGGTTTTACTTTTTTTTACGATTAAATTTTTTTGTTGCATCTATAGAATTGTTGTATATGATATAGCCAGGTAATAAAACTGACCATGCATGCATACAAAATATTTTGAACAATTGTTTAATTAAGAATATTGAGCTCGTCTTGAATTATATATTTACAATTAGGAATATTGAGCTCCTCTTGAATAACTTACACTGTTAAATTAATTAATATTAACGCTGTTGAAATTTTGATAGGACTCTGACGTATTTAATCAGTTTACTGAAAATAGTTTTCAGTTAAAGTCCCAAATAACATTTTCATGTTTGGACCTGTAGTTTAATGCTTGGTGGTCAAAATCGTGCCACTTTATAGAAGCGCACCCCAAAATTCGTCACAGCAACTGAGCCGAGATATTTTGTGACAGGAGATATCAGCCTCGTTTTCATATTACTGTAGAATGACGGATTATTGCTACGTGACAACGGATTGTATGTTTATTTGGACAGAGAATGATTCAGTGGACATTCTTAATTCTAAAATGCAGAGCACCAAACGTTATAAAAAAAATATAAGTTGACTAAATTCTGTCTAAATTTAATTTCGGTCCATAAAACCCAACTACACGAGTTTAAAAGCGACTTTGGCATGCAATCATATGCATAGATAATTTTTTTTGTTTAAACTATATGGGGTTTTTTTCTTATCAGTTTTCCGTCTAAGTACCAGTGCTCATCTATAGAGAACTGACGTACATTTCAAAAGACAAACGGTGCCCTTATTCTCAGCTTAAATTAAACCTTTTTGTGTTTCCGCAGTAAACAGTTGCATGAACATAATTAAAAATTGGAGCAGTTTTTCTATTCATTTAGTGGATTTGAACCGAAAATGGAAAATAAATAAACCTTTTCATAGTTATCTGAGAGAATGCTGCTTTAACCAGTAATATCATCAATCAGCCTCCAGTCTTATGATATTAAAGCATACTTTACAATAATTATATCTTTAAAGAAAATGACATTGCATTGTCGTTCGCATAACAAAAAGAACAAGCTGGAGAAATTGTGACCCTATTTTTGGAAAGATAACAGCATTTTTTATCTAGCCTATATATATATTTGTGTAACCTCTTCAATTTTCTGAAGTTTGGGAACAAAACTTTCTTTATCCATCATTAAATACACTATGTGTTCTTCTATGTAAACACATAAATTTCATGCTCTAGATTTTTTGGATGCTCTAGATGGGATTTTTTCTGACAAGTGTAGGCTTCAAATATTCTTGTGTCAATATATTGCATTGATGTTCAGATTGGCATTAAGCCATCAAATTCATTAAGGCCTATTTCAACTACCTTTTGCCTAAAACTGTCGCATGCAACCTGTTTACAACTTGAGTTGTACTGTGTAAATCAAGCACACTACTCGCCCATATATGTTGTTGTAGGCAAGTTGTGTGCTTGATTTACACATGCAGTAGGGTCTACAACTCAAGTTGCAAGCAAGTTGCATGCATGCGACAGTTTTAGTCAAAAGTTGTGTAGATTAAATATTTAAATCGGCCTTTATATACAGCATTGATGAACATTATTTTTGATAATCAGTTCCACTTTTTTCAAAGAAAATTTTTCTTTGAAAAACGTCTTAGCCTTGCCCGTTGGTATATATATTCGTAAAATTTCGCTAATCTCATGAGCCTCAGTATATTCTTAAAAGAAGATTGTTAATTATAAAATAGAAATAGTGTAGTATACTATAGAGCTCAAATGTTTGAAATTTCACGACCTTATCGATTGGTTAAAATAGTTTGAGATTTTTTTATATCAACGTAATTTAGTATACACGTATATCAACTTTATAGTTCCTACCCATATGTAGTTATAATCTAATTAAGACTCGTGGGGTCGCGGTTGTACGAATTAAAGGGATCGCATAGTGATTTTTTTCAACCGTTGTACCCCAGGAGAAGAAGAAAACAACTTTAACATATAAATACTAAACTTTAATCCTAGTTATGCAAATCAACGGCCCATTTAAGAAAGCTTGAAAAAACTTTCCGGTGCATGGATATAGCGCTATATATATTCTGCTTTCGCACAATCGGCCTTTGGTAAATAAACGTCAAAACCAAACTCGATAACATAGCGTACCTGCTTAACATTTTAAACAATCCTTCGCTTCCGTCATAAATGGCAGCATTGTACTACTTCCCACTCGGATGTTTTGTATTTACTTACTTTGCCTCTTGTGAGTCTTATCTCGTATAGACTGCCAAATATATAAACGTGAGCCGAGTTTAAATTAAACCGAAGTGTCAAATTATATTTGCTCATATGTTAAACTTTCATTTCCTATATTCTCCCAACCTAAAAACTTTGACCCAAATTTTCACCAGCTAACGGTTCAACGTTGTATAATCTCACGTTTAACTTCAACAGAACGAGAAAAATTTGAAAACATAATTTTGTCAGAAAAAAAGCGCTCTTAACAAAAGCTGATAGCTATTTACTTAAATCGGCGAGCTGCTTATATTGTGCTGTGGATTATTAAGTATATATATTTACGCTTTACTACTTTAAGCTTTCTTAGGCCATAGCTTCGTGCAAATACTTAGGATATAACACATGCTTAACATAATCCTTCACATACCTTTTATTCTGGCCGCCGTTTTCCACATAATTGCATGAATCTCAAGAAGAAGACAGAAAAATATCGTGAAGCCAGGTCTGTAAGAACAACGCACCTGTCCCGATCTCTTACTCAAACAAAGGTAAATTAAATATCGGAATGAATGAGAACTCATATATCACATTTGCATTTTAAACGAGCGACTTTTATCATTTCCCATTGACGACAATGTTAATATGCGCTGTATAAAAATACGACATTAAAATAAACGGTTCTTTTTGACGTTTCTGATGCCGTGAAGTTGGGGTTTTTTTCATTGGGGCATGCATGGAGCTGGAAAAGGTTTTAAAAATTTCTCGATGAATGAAAATCCAGTGCATGGCTATAATATCGGTTGACATTAATATTTATCCCTATTAATTAGTGTAAGTCTTAGCAAAACTATTAATACCCCGGCTGAATTTATTTGAATTATTCAGATTATAAATACAGCCGATAAGCTAGTTCTATTTTAGTGCTCTTGCAGAAAATCGTTGATTTGTTAAAGCGCATGCCGGCTTAACAGCGATTTTCGGATTTATTGTGCTTTCAAGTGGTTGGTAGTGGATACATTATCACTGATTCATTTGCGAGTGATTATTCTCAACACTGGGGCCACTTTTATTAATTATTCTTGCACTGTAGTGATGGTTTGGACTGACAGAATTTACAGGCGCACAACAAATTTGTTACAAGGTCATTGTTCCAACAACCTGACATCGGGTTGTATAGTTGTTCCCATCTTGTTGCAGCGGGACTGCTTGCACAAGACTTGCTTGATGACTCAAGGCTGTTGCACACGAGAGAATACTTGCGGAGATAACCGCCTCGGGTGGCGGTTATAGCTTCGGCTCGTTTCTCTCGTGTATGGACAGTTTTCGTGAGGATTTAACATCTCGAGGCCTTGAGGAAAATATCTATTGCGATATTTTTCACCTCGCGAGGAAAAATCTTAACGTCTGCGGATGTTGCGAGCTTAGTGCTGAGATGCTTGAATTAACTAGCCAATGAGAACCCATAGTTTCTTCACGTGATCCTGACATGCGTTGCAAGCTTGCAGCTGACGTGACATGTGCTGCGCGCGCGTTTTTAATGATTATGACGCAGATAATGGAAAGAATGAAATCACAGACGTTCCGAATGAGCGCACGGTGAACGTTTTAAAACTAAAAGATTTGGGGAGAATGTTGTGGAAAATAATACTGGTAGGTTTCAATAGTTTATATGTTGGTTTTCTATTGGTTGGCGTATATGCCTTTTATATCTGGGGATAGACTTCTAAATTTCTTCTAGATTTCCTCCTGTGGTAACACTGGATCAATAAGAGATGATCCTTATTGGACCTCCGGCTCCAGGAAGAACAGTTTAGAACCAATGGAGCTATCCAGTATAAATAAAATTAGTTTTGTTTAGGTTTCCTCCTGTAGTAATACTGGATCAATAGGAGATGATCCTTTCTGGACCTCTAGGAAGAACAGTTTCTATAGAACTGATAGAGCTATCCAGGAGAAATAAATATAGTTTAGTTTAAGTTTCCTCCTGTAATAATAACACTGGATCAATAAGACATGATCCTTACTGGACCTCTAGGGAGAATATTCTATACTGTCACTGGTATCGCCTCGCTCCTCATATGATAACCTATACATACAAAACTGTCTGATATAAATACGTTAGTTTACACACACGTAAAAATGCACAAGTTGTAACAAACCTGCAGCAGACTTGTAGCAATGCTGTTCCAACAACTTGTCAACAGGATGTGTTCGCACTGCTTATTCCCAGCTTGTTAACAAGTTGTCAACGGCTTGATGAAAACTTGCTACAAGGTTGTTGAGCTCGACAGAATTGTTACAAGTTGTTCCAACAACTTGTTGTCGTCCTGCAATTCAACAATTTGCCAACAAGTTGTGACAACCTTGTAGTAACTTGATAAAATAATAGCATTGTCACAACTTGTTGACAAAGCTTGCTACAAGCCTGTTGCGAACACATCTTGTTGACAAGTTGTGAGTTTTTTTACGTGTAGTTAATTCAGTTTAGTTTAGTTTAGTTTAGCATATTGTTCTAACATGGCACAACATTACTAAACTGCTTTCACACATTTTTAAAGATGGCACTGCTATTCCATCCGCCATTCACACATCCCGCATCTCCGCACAAATCCTCGGAACAACTTCCAACCTACGGCATTGTTCCCGAAGACAAATCCCCTGGCATGCTAGCCCCGGCCGAGGAGGAACCTCCGGGAACGCAAGAACCTGAGCCTGAAAGCGAGAGTGAACCTGAGGACTGGCCGGAACCTGGACCTCAATGGGACAAAGCGTACGACACTTGGGGAGTGGCTTGGGAATTTCACATCTATGCGTTTGCTGTATGTTTCTTCTTGGTTTTCGCTTACGCCTTGTACTATGTTGTCGTGAATGTCTCTGACGGACTTGGGAAGAAGTACTTGAGTGTCAGCTTGAATATTATGATGGTTATTTGCGGTTTCAGCCGAGCATTTGTCCTCGTAGTTGATCCTTACCACCAGGGGACGGCAGTGGATACACCGTTCAAGCTCATGCGTATCCTGTGGTCCCTAACCGACCCCTGTCTCACCGCCGCAGATTCGTTAGTAATTCTCTCGTTGCTCGAGACGTACAAGTTGTCCATCGCACCGCAACGTTTCCAGAAACCTTCAACAATCATCCCAATCATTGGCATGCATTTCGGCTTCGTCTTAACCTCAGACCTTGTCGTCTCTGAGTTCGTTGAGGCGAAAGCGATGCTTCTATTTTGTCAAGTATTTTTCATCACGTGGTGCTCTATATTGGGCATTTGCTACTTTCTGATTGGCTACAAGCTTGATCAGTTGATATTCAAATCTGGCGTCGAAAACGAAGTCTCCCAAGAGGGGAGATGGTATATCTATTTAATCCACGCATCCGGGATTTCGAATATAATCACAAGTGCAGTGTATATTTACTCAGCTGCGGGCGTTTTTGGCGTGTACTCGGATGTGACCTACGTAGACGCTTGGCCGTGGTGGACCCTGCAGTCCGCGTTGCGTATCACAGAACTGGTGGCAGCGGTCTTAGTATTCACAGTTAACGCGAAACGAGCCCAACCCGTGGTCCACGGGCAAGAGAAAACAGCAGCCCCACCAAAGAAACGAAAAATGAGCATGTTCAGCGGGATGCGTTCGATTCGGGACGGAACGTATTTGGAAAAGAACCAAGAGTCGCAAATTTCGACAGATAAACAGGGCTTGCAAATGTCTGAAAGTGGCGTCCAGTGTTTGGTTGGTGAAATTACGGACAGCATGGAAGATGTTGTCGCGAATTATGATAATGAGCTCGAAAGAAAGGATAGTATGTTTACAGCGCTCGGTGGGAAAGCGCAGACGGCGCGCAATGCAACATTTAATGTATAATACTGTACCTAGAGAATTGTCGACTACCCTACGATCAAATAAATGAAAAGTGTTCGTGCAAATAAACTGCGTAAAATGCGGTCTGATTTATTTTAGAGACATATCATCACTGTGAACGAAGCTTGGGCAGAGAGTTCGTCTGATAAAAATGTCAACAAGATGTGTTGGTAACAGGCTTGTAGCAATCTTGTCAACAAGTTGTAACAATGCTGTTATTTTATCAAGTTGCTACAAGGTTGTCACTCGCAACTTATCAACAAGATGTGTTCGCAACAGGCTTGTAGCAATCTTGTCAACAAGTTGTACACACGTAAAAACGCACAAGTTGTAGCAAACCTGCAGCAGACTTGTAGCAATGCTGTTCCAACAACTTGTCAACAGGATGTGTTCGCACTGCTTGTTCCCAGCTTGTTAACAACTTGCTACAGGGTTGTTGAGTTAAACAGACTTGTTACAAGTTGTTCCAACAACTTGTCATCGTCCTGCAATTCAACAATTTGTCAACAAATTGTGAGTGACAACCTTGTAGCAACTTGATAAAATAACAGCATTGTTACAACTTGTTGACAAGCTTGCTACAAGCCTGTTGCGAACACATCTTGTTGACAAGTTGTGAGATTTTTACGTGTGTAGCAATGCTGTTATTTTATCAAGTTGCTACAAGGTTGTTACTCACAACTTGTCAACAAGATGTGTTCGCAACAGGCTTGTAGCAATCTTGTCAACAAGTTGTAGCAATGTTGTTATTTTATCAAGTTGCTACAAGGTTGTTACTCACAACTTATCAACAAGATGTGTTCGCAACAGGCTTGTAGCAAGCTTGTCAACAAGTTGTAACAATGCTGTTATCAAGTTGCTACAAGGTTGTCACTCACAACCTGTTGACACGTTGTTGAATTGCAGGACGATAACAAGTTGTTGGAACAACTTGTAACAAGTCTGTTGTGCTCAACAATCTTTTATATAATAAGTTTAATAACGTTAAGAATCAAGCGCTTTCATTGGTCGAGAGCCACGATCTATTAGAGGACAGACGCACGGAATCACGTCACACAAAACCTTATCCAATAGCATTCCCTTATTTGTATAGATCATGTACGCGTGATATTTGTAAAATTTCGACTTTTTCAAATTTCCAAATGTTTGGGTGGATAAACAGTAAGCTATTTACCTGTTTAATTCGGGGTTTTCTTTTTATTATATAAAACAAATAGATAAGATTTTCCCGTTGTCAGTTCAGTTATAGATTCACAGTATGCCATCATAATGTGGGAACGTGACCCAGTCTCCTCGGCGGCTCGTGAGCCACTTTTTACCATTGAACTATAAATAAACTGGAAGGCTAACTGCTATGATGATGGCCTATGATTTGATGAAGCCAAAATAGTTTTTCTGAGTTATGAGCAGAAATACTTGACCCCAAACGTCGGGCTATATATTAAATTGAAGCTATTGAAAATTGCTATTCGGTGTGGAAATTTCAAGACTTCAGCCAAAAGAAAAATATTTAAAAAATACAAAAACAACTGCAAAACGGCAAATTATCGGTAATTATGTTTGTAGTTTTTCAATATTTCCCTTTTAGCTAAAGTCCTGAAATTTCTACACCAAATAGCGTTTTTCAATAGCTTCAATTTGATATATAGCCGAACGTTCAGTGTTGAGTATTTCCGCTCATAACTCAGAAAAACTAAAATACACTGGCTTCAATTTCCCCCCCTGAGTTAGCCTTCCAGTTTATTTATAGTTCAATGTGTGGGAACGTGACCCAGTCTCCTCGGCGGCTCGTGAGCCACTTTTTACTTCTTCTCACATTATGACGTCATACTGTGTATCTAACTGAACAGACAACGGCAAAATCAAGCAAAATCTTATCTATTTTGTTAAGTAGCAAGTTCTCAACAAAGCCGTTGACAACTTGTCAACAAGCTGGGAACAAGCAGCGTGAACACATCCTGTTGACAAGTTGTTGGAACAGCATTGCTACAACCCAGTGGGCCGGCAAAACGACGTTTATTCAACGTTTGAATCAACGTTGGAAATGATCACCCAGACGTTGGATAGACGTTTGAAAAAGGATTGAAAATGCAAATTGGATTCGTTGAAACAACGTGGGGATTAGGTTGCCAATCTGGTCAACCATAATTCAACGTTGAATCCACGTTGAAACAACGTTGAGAACACATCACAAGTTTACGTCGTATAACCAACCATAAACGAACGTTGATTCGACGTTTGTTTGCTGCTATCGTGTCTACTGCAGGTTTGTTACAACTTGTGCGATGAAGCACCTTGACGGTGCGCCTGCCATGATAAACAGGCAAACATGACAACGAGGCCATTGGAGGGCAAATGTGCAATAAACAATAAAGTCAAGTCCGAGTCCTATATACATTCAAGTACAATTCCAAGTCCCTTAGCAAAATGTCAAATCCAAAATTTACCAAAAAGAAATGATATCGCTTCGAATATAGATTATGGAACTGATGGTTTAATATTTCCACAATTTACAGGCTCTTCGTTGCATTTTTGCTTTGTAATCAAAGTAATATAGTGGTGGCGAGCAGATCAGACTATATAGTGATATTCAATTTCATGTTTAAAACATACAGCGCAAAGTTTGTTCGTTCACTGCAACCAGGAATATCAATCGTGTTTCGCTCGCTACTCTGGTTTAAATAAATTATTACAAAGCCCAGTCGAATTGGTAATCAAGACCCAACGTTTCGACACTCCAGTCTAGTGTCTTTATCAGGGATGATCTAATAGGGATGACGGTGCTTATTTGCCAGAGGAATACATGCATCTTATTGGCAGGTGACGTCATCCCTTGGGTATTTAAGAAGCCACGATTGCAACTTTAGATCACCCCTGATGAAGACACTAGACTGGAGTGTCGAAACGTTGGGTCTTGATTACAATTCGACTGGGCTTTGTAATAATTTATTTAAACCAGAGTAGCGAGCGAAACATGATACAGTGCAAAGTAGTGTATATAAACAGGCCCTACATTACAGTGGATGTGTCCCATTGAAATAAATGGAACCCTTAAAATAGTGAACTTCGTAAATAGATATATTAAACGAAAAAACATTGATTTATAATAATTAAAAAATCATCGTAAGATACAAATAATTTGATCTCCTTCTCTCTCATCTGGTCGGTGAGTTATTACACATCACGTCGAATTTTGTCGCTCAAAACAAATCACCTAGTGCTTCCATATTCTCCTCGCGTGTATTCTTGTCGCGAAAAAGGTCGTTGCCTTTGGAAAATTAATTAAAAATTAAGGTTGAAACGCGTACAACATGACCGAGCAATTTACATGTGCTGTTTTAACGGTGGCAATACAGGCCCTAATTTTAACGAAGCAATGAGTATACCAACGAGGAAATTCGATTGGTCGACTCGTACAGGACCTGACCTAAATTCCCAAGTCTTGAAGAGTCTAGTCTGAGTGCAAGTTTTTTTACATTGGGTGAAAGTCCGATAGGTTCACGTCGGAGTCACACCTTCAAGTCTGGACTCGAGTCCAAGTCGACCACCATTTTCAGACGAACTTGCTTGCGTGTTTAGCTTATATCTTGGCCTTCGGCTGTGTCCTTTTCGTGCGTCAATACATGGAGGAATATCGGACGGGCTGGGCGTGTCGTCCGTTTTGGCGTGGTTTAAACCGCAAGACGAAAAAACATCCACACGCAATGCCTAGCAATGGTTCTGGGAAAAAATCCTACCTGATATTGTCCTAGCTAATAGTCTGTTGCCGTATTTAGGCAAATAAAGGCTTCATCGTCAAGTGGAACCCACATGTATGCAAGTCTCTTTGTGTAGGCGGTGATCTGTATATATATTCGCCGCGTTTATTTACACACAGAAAAATAAGAAGTTACTATTTTCTTTGCGAAAGTTTGTCGAACCACATATCGCCCGTGTTTAGATCAATTTGAAAACAATTTTGGAACAGGATTTGTAGGAGAACATACGATATCTTGAAAACAGGTAACATTATACTAACATATGTTTTCCAAGTTTATATTTTCTAAAGCTTTTTTCGATAATCTTTTAAGATTTTTTAATAACATCAAATTGATAACTCTACTGCCATAACACAGACTTGCCGGTGCTTTGGGAGGGGCAATTAAAGCTTTTACAAAATACCATTTAAATGTGTTGTTTTTTAAATATTATGGAATACAAATTTTAAAGGAACTAAACAAAAATGGAGGTTTTGTTCGAACATGTACCTAATTTTCATTTTCAATAACTGAAAAAGGCGAAATTTAGTATATTTTTGTTACTTGTAAAACAAATTTTTAGAATGGACTTTTTTAATAGCATGACCTTTAACCTTTGACATAATCCGCAAAGTACGCTTTGATCGAAGATTGCGGAAACAATTTTAACCGAAACGTTTATTTTGAAATATATCCTCTTATTACATGTATTAATATTTCTCCAAAATACTTGTCAAAGAATTAGTCGGCAGATTTGAAGAGTTTTAATGGGAAATATCCATTTATGGGGCAAAGGGCAATATTTAAAATGTTAATTGTCTTGTGGAATTCACTAAAATGTTTTTATACCGTGAGAAGTTTTAACGACGCCGGCCAAATGCACGCTTGTACGTACGGTTCTAACTTGTTTTGTTTCAAAGTGGGGGAAATAGTGAAAGGGAAGAGCGTGTTTTGCCTTCAAACGGTAAGGAAATAGGCCTAGAATTGTGCTTAGTTTTGTGGGGATATTAATAGACTTTACTGATGTGTGAAAGGCCAGTAATCGGTATGAATTGTGGTTTAAATTTTAAAATTAGAATATACTTCGACGGCTTCTAGTGTTATTTATTTGCTGCTCTTGTCGTATTGAGATGGTTATCAGAATCGCTAAGAATCTGTTGATAGATTTATTAGTAGTGGTTGATATTTAGTGAGCTTTGTACGCACTTGACGTTGTATATATGTTTGGTACTTGGTAGCTTTGACATTTTCAGCAAACGAAATAGTTTAATAATACGAGAAGGTGCCATTATGGTCAAATTCAGAAGTGTTGACAACTTGAATTTTAAGAACAAGAAAAGTAAACAAAATCCCTTCGATTCTATTGATTCGCTACAAAATACAAGATACTGGCACATATGATGAAATCATGAACAGAATTAACAGTGAATTGACCGGCCATTATCTGCGGTGCTTAGCGAAACGCAAGAGGGAAACCCACGCATTGGGTATTGACTATTGCATTGTCATTTTTTTACAGCAGATACGTGTAGCAAGCCATCCCGACCGTGCAGAGCAAAATATATCAAGGTATGATCGCATTATGGTAGTCTAAATATATTTAAACTGTTGTTTGTCAGTGCAGGCCGTGTTGCAGGTAAAAATGAAGTCGTTGAACGAGTTAAAAGAAGTAAAAGAAGTACATCATTGCATGTTTTGAGCCGAAGCCGATCGAAGGGCTTCAGAACGGTTACTTTATGCAGTATTTGTATATGCATATGTTGTATACATAGTAACACTGGGCAAATTGTGGAGAACAATTAATAACTGATAGTGCCAATCAGTATAAATAAAGTTAGTTTAATTCATATATTTACGAAAAAACACTGTCAAAAAAGTCGACTCATCCTCCGATCACAAATGACGTCATCAATTTTTTATCTCACTGTCGACAGATCTTTGTCAAAAATGGACCTCAGAATTGAAATCTTCACGCTCAAATTAGTATACACCGAAAATATCATGATGTTTGGATATTCAGAACGCGAGTTGCAGTGTTTTGAAATGTTTTCACCGTACCGGAAATTATATTCCATACAAATGTACAAGAAAAAACAAAATTTTCAAAACGCCGTAATTAGCGCTCTGAATGTCCAAACAATATGAAATTTTCGGTGTAGACTTACTTTAGCATGAAAATTTCAATTCTGAGGTGCGTTTCTGCCAAATATGAACTTGCATCGGAGAATTGTATTGTCGACGAGCACGCAAGGGGAAACCTGTGCGCAGGTCAGATTCTCAACCTGCGGGGCTTCAACGAACCGCGCTGACGTAATGCCATAATAAATATGCCTGGGGAGAGGGCAGGTTCATGCGCGATGACGTATCTTATGTTCCGCTAATCTTGCGCATATTATGCCAATCTTTTACTGCTTGGTGGATTTTGAAAATTAATTTGTATTGACTGACAACAAGTTAATTGAGTATTAGCGACAATCTTATCTGGAGACATTTGAGAAATGCTCAAGTGACCACACCTGGCGAAATACAGCTGAAATTAATAATCAATTGATATAATTACGTTATATTTCTGAGCTGATTGTATAAAAAGTAGTTAAGATGTCTACAGTAAGTTCATAAGTTAACCAATTAGAATCGTGTATTTGAGATATCGCCGACTATTTTTAAATAAAGCTCCTAACTACTTTTTAATTACCCGTTCTGTATTTTTATTTAAACTGAATACAGAACGGGTAATTAAAAAGTAGTTAAGTCTTTAATAAAACTTCCTTGTGTTTAAACTAGCTTTATTCATACTCGTTAACCGGCTCTATCAGTTCTAAGCGGCAGTTCTCCCTAGAGGTCCAATAAGGATTATTTCTTAATGATCCAGTGTTACTACAGGAAGAAACTAAACTAAACTAACTTTATTTTTACTGAATAGCTCTATCAGTTCTCACTGAAACTGTTCTTCCTAGAAAGCCAGTTAGAGTCAGTTCTGAACTGTTCTCCCTAGAGGTCCAGTAAGGATCATCTCTTATTGATCCAGTGTTACTACAGGAGGAAACCTAAACTAAACTAACTTTATTTATACTGGATAACTCTATCAGTTCTAAACTGTTCTTCCTAGAGGTCCAGTTAGAATCATCTCTTATTGATCCAGTGTTACTAGAGGCGGTCACAGAAGTACTCTAAAACATTTGCGGTGTTTTGGTAGGAGTGAATGCGGAAGCACTCAATTTTTTAATAGCTAAGTACAGTACTCAACTACATCAATCCAATATTCCCACGTTTGATCTTAAAGTCTTCCTAGTCCAGAAAGATTATAGGAAGCTATCATAAATTCTTTCAGTCCATTAAAATTCTTGTGGTATCGTAGGCGTACCATATCTTGTGAATTCCGCATCATTTCACATCAAATTCCAAATCTTCGCGGCGCTGATAAATGAACTCCGAAGGACACCTTAAATTGGCATAATTGATCGTTCTCGTAAATGAGATAGAAATCAACCCACTGCGTTCACATGGGCATTAACGCCTTAATTCACCACATATAAGGCGTTCTCGGAAAAAAACAACAATCATAGCGGAGTAAGAAAAGCAGCTTATCCCTTTTTTCCAAATGGTCCCACATTATATACTTTACTCAGGCAAAGCTCTTCGTATATGTGAAGTAGATGATCCTCGCTATATTTCAGAGTATCTTAATGGACCGTTTGCATTATAGACTAAATTTTGATCTATAACAAGTCTAGACAAAAATTTCACCATCACAGCTTGAAAGAGCATCACAGAATTAGTAATATTCCAAAGTTTCGTTGCGAAATGTTGTAAAATGCGGAGAATATAGCCTTGCGAAGTTTGCCGTTTTTCAAGTCATTTTGCATTACGCGGGGGAAATTGACAGCCCAATACCCTTTGGAGCTGTCAATTTCTCGTTTGTTATACAAAATGACTGAAAAACGGTAAACTTCGCAAGGCTATATTATCCGCATTTTACAACATTTCGCAACGAAACTTTAGAATATTACTAATTTTGTAATGCTCTTTCAAGCCGTGATGAAATTTTTGTCTAGACTTGTTTAGATCAAAATTTAGTCTATAATGCAAATGGTCCATCAAGCTGGCTGGTTGGCACTATCAAAGTTTCTGTGATCACAGTAGGAATTTTGCATGGGTAAATTTTAAGTTTTAAAGGATTTGTAAGAACTCTTTGAGCTGGGACTACTGACTCACTGTTTAACACTAGTGAGTCAGTTGAGAGTTCCCTCAAACATTTCTTACAAATCTTTCAAAACTTTGAATTTACCTCTGCAAAATTCCTACTGTGATCACAGAAACTTTATAGTATAGTACAAACCAGGGTTGCAGATTATGTCCATTTATGAATTCCGCCGGAATGCCTATTCTATGGCCTTGGTCTCATTCCTTTTGAATACCACAAGTAAATATATGTCGTGTTTGCATGTCGAGGTTTCACAGTTTAATTAAAAAACAATAAAAATGTCAAAACATGTTCCCACAGATTATCAACTTCAGACGTAGCCAGCGCGTTGGATTGGAATCGCTGTGTCTGTTTTGTCTTGTTCACGGTCTAAAACCAACGGTGTTGTCACCACCATTGGCATTGAGTTCCCATAACTGCGAAAAAAATAACACCAACTTGTTTTAAGGCGACGCCTGCGTCATGCAAACAACACAGAATAACCTTTACCCTCGCAAGGACAAGGAACAAAGCGTTGTTTACTCACAGCTTCGTGTTAACCGCTCTTTTTTCCAAAATAAAGCATATAATTGACTTGCCAAAAAATAGAGTCGAGAATATGCGCCCAGCTGGTTCGTTTTGTTGTGGTTTGTGGACCATTAAAGTTCAGACCGCGTTTTACGACTTTGGACAGCTACTTATACAACCAATCAATTATAGCAAATCTTTAATCTCGCACCGACCATTCAATCCAAATGCTCGCAACATTGAAACGACAAAAAAGCAATTTGTGAAGCCGTAGTTCGCTCGGAACAATGCGTCTCCCCCAGCTCTCGCGTTTTCTCAGGGTCGCGAAACGGAAAAGCCCAATTTTCCCATCGCTGTTAGCGGATAGCAAGTTTTTTTTATAAATAAGCTTATCTCTATACATCGTTTTCCTGTCGATGCTTATCGCATTTCGCAGCAGGCTTAGCTAACGGCAGATGTTCAAGAAGCTATTCTTTCCAATCTCAATTCCCCGCCTACTGTGTACTGTTCGAGTCCATGTGAATTGTATTAACGTACGGAGAGTGTCTATCGTGGAGTGTCGTCTAGCAGCATAATTCATATGTATACGTGTTTATTTTCCACAGACGACACTAACGGGAATAAACCATGAAGGATGGAAACTGTATCTTGCTAATCCTTTGGACCTTAATCTACTCTTTGTGCTGTGGTAAGCTATATTTTCAATGAATATCTTCAGATGAGACTCTAGCGTATACGTAGCGACGATAGGCAATATTCACGAATTTGGTTGAAGAATCTAACTACTCGGAAAGTATACAGCGTTCTTCAATATTTCATGCGAAGACCCTGCGTTTGGTACTAGCTGTAGTGATTATACAAAGATCAGGAATGTGTGTAGTTAGACCTTCAGCCAAGTTTATCTATTACTTTGCATATAAAATTGCCGTAGTATTTCAAATGATAATTCATGCGTATCTATACTATAGATCTTTACGAGTATAATCTTTGTACCGTTTTAAAATAGACTCCAACGCGCGGAGTTTAATACAAGCGGTCGTCTTTCTGACACAAGGAAGCGCTTGATAAAATCGCCGTTTAAAACCTCTCAAGGGCAAGCAATAGTTCGCACGCTGTCGTGTAATCTGCACATGTCTTGATGTCTGCATGGGATACGCTTCAAAGGCGTCTGTAATTATTTACCCACTAATATGGGAACAATCCTGTTTGTTTGTATTGCAATTACGAGACGTTTGTATCATACAATCACTTCAGAAAACATATCATGTTTACATTATCAATAGAGGCCCGCATCGCGCCACCTCTGCAGAGAATCCGATAGCAAACATGAGCTAAACGCCGTAGACACGCGGTTTTTGCTTGATTCCCAAACAATTGAAGCAAATCCACAGTTCCAGTATATAATACTTGTGACCGATGCATTTATTTTGGTCAATATTATTCAGGCTATGTATAGGCGTGCTTTCGTCTCAAACGTGCATGGTGTTCCAGTGTAGGTAGTATTCTACAATAAGCTGTCGTGGTTTGTGTCTGAACTACCTGAAAAAGATATCTCAAACGTGGTGGTCCAGTGTAGGTAGTATTCTACAATAAGCTGTCGTGGTTTGTGTCTGAACTACCTGAAAAAGATATCTCAAACGTGGTGGTCCAGTGTAGGTAGTATTCTACAATAAGCTGTCGTGGTTTGTGTCTGAACTACCTGAAAAAGATATCTCAAACGTGGTGGTCCAGTGTAGGTAGTATTCTACAATAAGCTGTCGTGGTTTGTGTCTGAACTACCTGAAAAAGATATCTCAAACGTGGTGGTTCAGTGTAGATAGTATTCTACAATAAGCTGTCGTGGTTTGTGTCTGAACTACCTGAAAAAGATATCTCAAATGTGGTGGTCCAGTGTAGGTGGTATTCTACAATAAGCTGTCGTGGTTTGTGTCTGAACTACCTGAAAAAGTTATCTCAAACGTGGTGGTCCAGTGTAGGTAGTATTCTACAATAAGCTGTCGTGGTTTGTATCTGAACTACCTGAAAAAGATATCTCAAACGTGGTGGTCCAGTGTAGGTAGTATTCTACAATAAGCTGTCGTGGTTTGTGTCTGAACTACCTGAATAAGATATCTCAAACGTGGTGGTCCAGTGTTGGTAGTATTCTACAATAAGCTGTCGTGGTTTGTGTCTGAACTACCTGAAAAGATATCTCAAACGTGGTGGTCCAGTGTAGGTAGTATTCTACAATAAGCTGTCGTGGTTTGTGTCTGAACTACCTGAAAAAGATATCTCAAACGTGGTGGTCCAGTGTAGGTAGTATTCTACAATAAGCTGTCGTGGTTTGTGTCTGAACTACCTGAAAAAGATATCTCAAACGTGGTGGTCCAGTGTAGGTAGTATTCTTCAATAAGCTGTCGTGGTTTGTGTCTGAACTACCTGAAAAAGATATCTCAAACGTGGTGGTCCAGTGTAGGTAGTATTCTACAATAAGCTGTCGTGGTTTGTGTCTGAACTACCTGAAAAAGATATCTCAAACGTGGTGGTCCAGTGTAGGTAGTATTCTTCAATAAGCTGTCGTGGTTTATGTGTGAACTACCTGAAAAAGATATCTCAAACGTGGTGGTTCAGTGTAGGTAGTATTCTACAATAAGCTGTCGTGGTTTGTGTCTGAACTACCTGAAAAAGATATCTCAAACGTGGTGGTCCAGTATAGGTAGTATTCTACAATAACCTGTCGTGGTTTGTGTCTGAACTACCTGAAAAAGATATCTCAAACGTGGTGGTCCAGTGTAGGTAGTATTCTACAATAAGCTGTCGTGGTTTGTGTCTGAACTACCTGAAAAAGATATCTCAAACGTGGTGGTCCAGTGTAGGTAGTATTCTACAATAAGCTGTCGTGGTTTGTGTGTGAACTACCTGAAAAAGATATCTCAAACGTGGTGGTCCAGTGTAGGTCGTATTCTTCAATAAGCTGTCGTGGTTTGTGTCTGAACTACCTGAAAAAGATATCTCAAACGTGGTGGTCCAGTGTAGGTAGTATTCTACAATAAGCTGTTGTGGTTTGTGTCTGAACTACCTGAAAAAGATATCTCAAACGTGTGATTTAGAATTCTGACTTCGACGTGTGCAGCGAAGGCTTTTCGTTAATTTCTTATTTGATATTTTTTTATTTTATTTTTAGTCAAGCAGTTCAACAAAGCACAAAAAGAAGAAGAAAAAGCGAGACTCTTGATACGTTTATATTGTGGTAAGTATCATTCATTAATTTGTTGCTACGTACAAATATTCTTCGGGTTTCATTTGTTACATTAACTACTTTTGAGTTCTTTTAAAAAAATCTCAATCTTTTCTTTTACTGCATTTAAATCATTTGAGCACACACCGTTTTGAATTTCGTGTTTTCCCATCGCATTCTTAAGGCTTTCGTTCATAACTGGCTGGATTTTTAACCCCTCGAGTTGTTTAAACAATTCGCAAGGCGAGTCAGAGATTGGTTTCAATCCTAAAGCGAGCAAAACGTCCTTTCCAAACTTGCTATAATGTGCTGTGCTTGACAGCAGCAGCTTGCGGGCGGAGGGTGGTCTTTTGAGGGCAACATTCAGGCCGACTGCAGTGTGCGGGTCAAGTAGGTAATGGTTTTGGTCAAAACATGTCTTTATGGTTG